ACTATTGTGGTATTAGTGTCCATCTCTTTCTTTTGGTCTAATAGTGTTTGCTTTATATATCACTTCTCTGAGATTGGATGCATATATACTTATGACTGTTAGGTCTGCTTGCTGGATAGATCCTTTTATCATTATATAGTGGCCTTCTTTACCTTTTTTTTAATGGTTTTTGGTTTAAAGTCTATTTTCCCTGACATAGGGGTAACTACTCCTGCTCATTTTTTATTTCTATTTGCATGGTTTATCTTTTTCCTTTCTTTCACTCTTAGTCTATGTGTGTCTTAAGAGGTGAGGAGAGTCTCTTGAAGACAGCATATTGTTGGATCCATCCTTTTAATTCAATCATTCAGTCTGTGTTTTTTGAGTGGGGAGTTTAGTCCTTTCACATTAAGAGTTATTATTAAAAGGTGTTGATCTACTACTGGTATTTTACTGATTTTTGTTTGGATGTTTTAAATATCTTTTGTTCCTTTCTGATTTACTGTTTGTCTTCTGTGTTTTTTCGTTTCTTGGGATGGTAGATTAACTTCTTTTCTCTTTATTGTTTGCATTTTTGTTTTACTGGTAAGTTTTGTTCTTTCCTGAGTATTCCTGGTAGTGATGGTTGTTTTTCAGATACCAAACACAGTACTCCCTTGAATATTTCTTGTAAGGCTCATCGTGTGGTAACAAACTCCTGTGGTTTTTGTTTATCTGGGAATTATACTATTTGTCCTTCATTTCGGAAGGACAGCCTTGCTGGGTAAACTATTCTTGGATGGCAATTTTTGTCTTTTAGTATTTTGAATATATCATCCCATTCTATTCTTGCTTTTAGGGTTTCTGATGAAAAGTTGATGTTAGTCTGATAGGGGCTCCCTTATATGTGACTCGACACTTCTCTCTTGCTGCTTTTAAGATTCTTTGTCTTTGATCTTTGCCAATTTGATTATAACATGTCTTGGAGAGGACCTTTTTGGGTTGAATATATTTGGGGATCTTTGAGCCTGCTGAATCTGAAGATCTCTGTCTCTCCCTATACCTGAGTTTTCTGCTGTTATTTCATTGAATATGTTTTCAATGCCTCTTCCTTTTTCCTCACCTTCTAGGATACCCATGATTCGGATATTTGAGCACTTAAGGTTATCTGCTATCTCTCTCAGATTTTCTTCACTTTTAATATATATATATTTTTTGGTCTGCCTGTGTTATTTTGAACAGGCCCATCTTCAAGGTCAGCAATTCTCTCTTCTGCTTGTTGTAGCCTGCTGTTTAAGCTCTCTGTTGTGTTTTTTATTTTGTTGAATGAATCCTTCACCTCCACAAGCTCTGCCACATTCTTTTTCAGAGCATTGATTTCTTTGTACATTTCCTCTTGCAGGTCCTTTATACTTTATCTTATTTCATTGTGTTGTCTGAGTCTTCTTGTACCTCATTGAGTTTCCTTAGAATTGTTGCTCAAAATTCCTTGTCAGTCATTTCAAGGACTTCCTGTTCTATAGGATCTGGTACTTGAGAGTTATTATATTCCTTTGTGGTGTCATATTTTCTTGTTTTTTCATATTTCTAGTATCTCTACACCAGTGTTTAGTCATCTGGTAGAGAAATTACTTTTTCTGGTACTCTGGAGTGGGGTTAACAGGGAGGGAGCTCCTCTTGCAGGTGTATTTTATAATGAGGGTTGACTAGGGTGTTTTAGAATTGGATCAAGGTAGACAGCTTCATGTAGACACTCTGAAGGTATTTTGGCCAAATTCAGTGTTGGAGTTGTGTGAGAGTGCCTCTGTGACCTACTCCCCGGACATTTATTATTTCTTTGCTGAGGTTGGTGACACTACACTGGTTTGTCAGGACACGGGTAAGCTCTCAAACTTTGGGAGATAGAGCCTTGTTACTCTTAGGTGATAGTGGGTGTTCTTGTGCAGGACTGCTGGCACTGTGACTAGCTCACCCTGACTATTGGGTGCACTGAGGTATACTAGTACTCCTCAATTTGAATGGGTGACTCTGGATGGGTTTTCTCTTTTTACTTTCCTCTTTCCCTGGGCTCCACCGGTGACGCTCCTTCTGTCTACACTGAGGTATACTAGTACTCCTCAATTTGAATGGGTGACTCTGGATGGGTTTTCTCTTTTTCTTTCCTCTTTCCCTGGGCTCCACCAGTGACGCTCCTTCTGTCTGTGCCAATGTGTAGTCACCAGGAAACCTGTGAGGCAGTGGTAGCTGCTGTTTTGGCAGCAAGCTGTCCTTACAGCAACAGTTGCTGTGGTGGAGGCTGTCACAGTCCACTCATTCAGCACTGGTGTCTCTAGCAGTGGCAGGGGATGTTGCTGACACCTGGCTGCCTGTGGCTCCTTTGGGTCCTCAGCAGTGATGTGGCAGGCTTCTCAGAGGCGGGGTCTTGCTTGCCTGTGTTCCTGTGGGGTCTGCTGGCGAGTTGGGGATGATCTCTCTGGGCTTCCTGGAGCAACAATTTAAATGGAACACGCAAAGCAGGTCCTCTAAAGTTCAATGTCTGAAGTGAGGTGTGAGACTTGACTCCCTTTTCCCAATCATTCTGTCCTACTAATTATGACGGGTGATACAAACCACTGCTGAGCAACCACATTTGCATGATAGCTTACTGAAGAAAAATGAAAACATTTAAAGGCCATATGTATTTTCCCTTTTTTAAAAAGAAAATATTTCCTACTGTGTTTAAATATTTCTTCATTATTTCTCTGTTAAAACTTCATAAATTATAAATAAGTGCTGCAGTATCTAATTATAATGCAGTAATTGAACAGAATTGATATAAAGTGAAACTGACTAGTGGCTGGGGAAAGGTTTGAAGGATTTGGGGGTGATGAGGCAAACTAGCACCAGATTAGCAGCCATAGATCAGGACAATTTGGGACTGTTTGGGAAGACAAGCGGTTGGGAGCTGCCATTTGTCAGGCATACTGGGATGAGGATCTGAATGCAGGCTGGTGGAATGTAGGATGGAGAATGCAATATATTACTGACTTTCTTCACTCCAAATGTAAATGGCCAAAAGGAAAGGATCTTATTATAACATCTTCCCAAGAAGAAAATGGGATAGGAGTGGGGTTTATGTCTCTCTCACTACTCTGAACCACTTGAATCAAAAGCTGTGTGGGCAGCATTTTCAATGCAGCATTCATGCCATTAGCTTCTGTTCATGGCATAGCTCTGTGGAATGAGGCTTTCTCAGTCCTGGTCCTGAGATGGTTCAGCTTGGGTGGGATTTCTGAATGCAAAATGAGACTATGACTTTCAGCCTACTATTTTATAGTTCTTGGATACAAAATCAAATCTTAAATAGTGTCACGACGTGAGATGGGTATCAAGTATCTCCTAGGATGTTCATGTTTGTCATAAACTGATTGAGATTACTTATTTCTTTAGACATAGTTATATTTTCTCCCACAATAATGACAAAACATATTGGAAATATTTCAAGAAATTAATGTTAGGGAAACACTTGGGCATCTATTGACAAATGTTAATTAACTCATATGGCAAATTATTTCAGATTTAATAGACAAACTCAGTGATTTCAAACACAGTGTTTTTTTCCCAACCTGATAATCTATGGACTAATATTCTCTAATTTAAAAATAAGAGTTTGAAGGAAAGATTAAATTTTGAAATTTTCACGTAAAAATATTTCCCAATATGTAAAATGTTGTTTACTCTTAAATATCTATTTTAATAGTGACATAAATGTAGACAATAGCACCTATCTTATTAGTTCTTCATGGAATTTCAATGTCCTAATTTCTAAACTGGGGATGGTAATATCTCCTTTGCAGGTATTGTGATGTTTAAACGAGATAATGCATGTAAAATGCTCAGCAATGATTGACTCATAGTAGACTCTTAGGGAATGGTAACTACTATCCCTAGCCTAAATTTATTTATACACTATTTGATTTTTTTTAAAGATTTAAGTACATATTATTCAAGAAACATCAAAATGTAAATGAAATGATATTCATCAATATAAGAGGCTAAATTAAAGGCCCAAGAAGGTAAGCTGTTTTCCCAAAGTTATTAAGATCACAACAAAGTTTAAAAAGAACTTAGGACATCTTGTCCCCATTTAAATTATCGTTCTTTATCCTCAAAACCAAAGCAAAGAACTATTTGGTATTTCTGATTGAAACACTCAGGGTACATTCTGATGACTTTAGCCAGTATAATAACTCATCTCTACTAGGAGACAGGCAGCAGCTGTCAGCTGTCATGAACACCAGCAGCTGGCAAACAAACTAAGCCCTTTTGATTTAAAAGAAAACAACAACATCCGTACCACCCCCCCCACCCCCCACCCTGCCCACAATCAACCCATCCAAAAAAGCAAAAACCCCTCAGTAAATAAATACCTGGCCAAAGTTAAACACGGCACAGAAAAATTGTAACTCAACATATAGTCTTCCAGGCTCTTGATTAAATAGCCACCACAAACAACTAGAAAGATTCTGCAAAGGAAGGAGAAAAGAGTACTTTAAAATGAAGCAAGCTAATTATTTCTCTCCATCCAGAACACAGTACAATAACTTATCTACTTAATAATTAGGGGGCTTTCTGTCACTTATAACAGCAAAAGAAAAAAAATTAGGGGAGAAAAGACTAAAGGGAAAAACACCAAGAGAATACAGAGGCTTTGTCTTTCTGACAAGAGGTTTCAACCTCTCCTCCTGACAGATGTCATTCAAATGGCATCTATTCTGATCAGACTTGAAGCAAGAAGACGTGAGCCATAACACAGAACCTTACATAATATATCAGGACCGCCAACTAGCCTAAGACAGAACTGATTTTAAAATTAGTTCCACAAAAGGAAAACAATTATATCACTAGGCAGCAATTCTTAGCAGCATTTCTTAGTTTTTGACTTTTGTTCTTAAACAGCATTAAAGTGGTGTTAGCTGATGTCACACCATGTAATGAGCATCCTAGTGTGAAAAGGGTTCCCTTAAGGGTCATATGGTCCATTTCCCACCTCTTGGGCAAGTTATGCTGGAACCATCTCAAAGAATTACAGTATATGACAATAGCTGATAATTCACAAAAGAGAACATACAACTAATTTTTTAAAAAACCTTTAGTGGGCCAGCCCGTGGCTCACTCAGGAGAGTATGGTGCTGATAACACCAAGGCCACAGGTTCAGATCCCATATAGGGGATGGCCGGTTAGCTCACTGGGAGAGCGTGGTGCTGACAACACCAAGTCAAGGGTTAAGATCCCCTTACCGGTCATCTTTTTTTAAAAAAAACTTTTAGTAATCAAAGAAATGCATGCATTTAAAAAATAAAGTTCTGGGCCGGCCCGGTGGTGCACTGGAGAGTGCGCCGCTTGGGAGCGTGGCGGCGCTCC